TCAAAACGTGTACTATTGACTCCGTCCTGAAGGGGTTAATCTGTAGTGGTCCTTGTGACTATAGTTTCCCTTTAAGAAGTGTATTTTTGTTGAATATAAATCTTTGTAAGTTTAAAAAAAAAAAAAAACCCCCCCTTTTCCTCCCCCCCCCCTTTCTCCCCCCTTTCTCCCCCCTTTCCCCCCTTTCTCCCCTTTCCCCCTTTCTCCCCCTTTTCCCCCCTTTCTCCCCCCCTTTCCTCCCCCCTTTCTTTTCCCCCCCCTTTTCCCCCCTTTTCCCTTTCCTCACCAGAACAACTACAGCTTATTGTATTTGTTCTGGTGAGTATAATCATTACCTTAAGGCTTTTTGCAGTAAACACTGTCTTTTCATAGAAAATGCAGTGTTTTCATTACAGCCTAGGGATACCTCCACTGGTCACTCTTCAGGTGGCTACTAGAGGTGCTTCTTGGACAATGCTGCGCAGTGTGCAGTACTGCCATTCATTGTTTCCACGCTCTGCATGGAGACTCTGAACTTTCCACATAGATGCTGATTGGCCAGGGCTGTGTTTGGCTTGTGTTGGCTCTGCCTCTTTGACACTCAGCCAATCCAGTGCTTTTCTATTGGAAAGCATTGTGATTGGCTTTTGATTACCATTTCTGATGATGTCACCCAGTCAGGCAGATTAATGGGAAATCTTGAATAAAAGTAAGATTTTACTATATTTAGGGGGGTTGGACCAGGGGTCTAGATGGTTGTATTAACACTACTTGGTCAGGAATACATGTTTTTGTTCCTGACCCTTTGGTGTTCCTTTAACAACTGAATGAAAATTAAATCTTTTGTTATTCACAGCCAGGGGAGGTGTGGATAGGGCTGCATAAGCAAAAACAAAAGTTATTTAACTCTTTGAAAGGAAAAAGAATTGAGCAGTGAGTGACTGCATGTGGCTTGATTTATACACCAAAACTGCTTCATTAAGCTTAATTTATTTTGGTTGTGTTAGAGTCCCTTTATACTTACATGTGTTCCACCATTGGGACATTGCTAGAGAAAAGTTGAAGTATCTATGTGCCAAGCCACTACTTCAAGATGTGGTTTTGGTTCTTTTGTTTCCCATTGGTTTGACGTACATGAATTACATTGGAGACTCACTTGGTGTGGAAAAACCACATCTGCAGTTTTCTGGGTTTTTCTTTTTTTCTATATTTTATTTGTAATTGATATTACTCATTTTGAGTTTACTCATATTTGCCCTTAAAACATGCATGCAGTAAGATAAGAATTAACATTTAAAAAAACAACAACCTTGCTTCTCTTTTTTGGAAGAGTGGGCAATGAAGACATACTTTTAGTTTCCTTACTGTAATATAGGAATGATAACAGGAAAACGATCACTGCATGAAATTGCATCATCATTCTCATTTTACATGACTGAATGCAGAATTCTCCATATTTGTGTTTCAATGGCTCATTTGTTGCTGTATAAATATTCTAAGCTTGGTGACCTTAAACACTGCTGCTTCTATTCCCTTTATATATTCAGGGCTGGAAAATATGGCAGCTATTCACTAGTCTGAAGGTTGGACATTGGCAGCTTGTAGATCACATAATAAGGTTATTAGTCCAATCATACTTTTAAATTTTTTTTAAATTCCATTTATAATTTAGTAAATGGTTTAAAAATCCGAATTGGAAACCTCTTATTTTATAAACCCAAACCGTGTTGTCAGTAGATTAATATTTTATTTGGTGGGATTTACAGTAAAGGTATTTTTTGGCATTTATTGCTTTTAGTTATTTAAAACAGAGTTTAAAAAAAAAATTAAAAAAAAACTTTTTTTAAATAATGACCTGGCATTCTCTGGTGATACAACATTAATAGCAGGGAGGTATAATACTGCTGGCAGTATTATAATAATGAATACAGGTGTGGCAATGTCATCTTCATTTACTCTCCTGTGGATCATTGTGTGGTAGCAGGGCTGAGATTTTATTACTCCTAACACGGTCTCTGCTCCCCCCTCTCTTCTACAAATCTTCTTCCCAGGTAGTTGGAGAGAGAGAATACTTTTACAGGCTGCAAAACTGTTTCAGTATATGGCCCTGTGCTGTTTAATTCCAGCAGAGATATGAGTTTTTAGTTTTTTTTCCAAATCTGTGTGTTGATTCTTTACACAAACTATTTGTTGCATCTAAGCTCTGCTTTCCACTAAGTACTGTCTTCTTTTTTTTATTCAGGTGCAGGTACAGCAGTCTCCCCAGCAACTCTCTCCCCAGCTTAATGTCCATCCATCAAATGAGCAAACCATCCAAGTGCAAGTGCAAATCCAGGGCTCTGCTCAATCACAGACGCAGCAAAGTGCGCAAACATTACAGACTCAGTCCCTGCAGAGCCCCGGCCCTTCTCAGCAGCTTTCCAACTCCCAGTTACAGGTGTCTCAGATACAAGTGCAACACTCTGATATCCAGGATGACCACATACAGCACTCACAGATCCATGCACAACTGGCAGCAGGACAATCTGTTGGTAGCGGAATACAGATTCAAGCTGCAGGAGCTCTATCACCCCCACCAACCCAGCAAGGATCCCCAAGGGAAGGGGAGCGCCGATCCAGCACTTCCAGTGTTCTTCAACCAGTAAAAAAGCGTAAAGTGGACATGCCTATCACTTTGTCATATGCAATTTCAGGCCAACCAGTGGCTGCAGTCCTGGCCATTCCACAGGGTCAGCAACAGAGTTACGTGTCTTTAAGGCCAGACTTACTGACAGTGGACAGTGCTCATCTTTATGGGGCTACTGGGACCATTACAAGCCCAACAGGAGAAACCTGGACCATCCCAGTTTATTCTGCAAATGCCCGTAGTGATCTTCAACAGCAGAATATAACCCACATTGCAATCCCTCAAGATGCCTACAATGCCGTCCATGTAACAGGTTCTCCCACCACAGTAGCAGCTGTAAAATTAGAGGATGACAAGGACAAAATGGCCAAAAACACACACGAGGAAGTGGTGCAGACTCTTGCTAACTCTCTGTTTCCAGCCCAGTTTATGAATGGAAATATTCACATTCCAGTTGCAGTACAGGCTGTTGCAGGGGCTTATCAGAACAGCGCACAAACTGTCCACATATGGGACCCTCAACAGCAGGCATCTCTACATGAGCAGGTTCAGCAGCAGCATCAGCATCAGCTGCAGGTAACCTGACAAGTGAGGGATTTCCATTAGCTGTTTTTACTTGCATGTTTGATCTACTTAGGTAATTTACATCATACAATACAACTACAATCAGTCTTAAACAAATATTTACTTGTACGGGTGAAGAAGGTACATTGGGAATAATGCACAAATAAAAGGGATGTACTTTACAATTTTTAACATGGGAAGGGCAAAGATAGTGTTAGTTCAGTATGAAACAACCCAGTTGTAAATAAGACTTTGCAATACCAAGACACTTAAGAATATTTATAGACATGTAAAGCTAGGTCCGACTTTAACCAAGATGACGGTACTATTTTAATACTGTCAACATTTCTCACGTGTCTGATGGCAAGAATTGTTTAGAAAATACTTGTATTTTCTAACACTATAGGTTTAAAAAGCTGTTTAGCTGACCCAAGACACGCCGCTAAAGGCCAACTGAGTGACTGCCATTAGAGGTGTTCCTAAGCAGTAATATAAACAGACTGTGGACAAGAGGACCACTACATTAAAGGGACACTATAGTTACCAGAACTACAGCTTATTGAATTTGTTCTGGTGAGTAGAATCATTATCTTCAGGCTTTTTGCTGTAAACACTGTCTTTTCAGAGAAAATGCAGTGTTTACATTACAGCCTAGTGATAACTTCACTGGCCACTCCTCAGATAGCTGTTAGAGATCCTTCCTGGGTCATTGCTGCCTAAAATGCATCCAAACATTCAGTGTCTCCTCCATCTGCATGCAGACACTGAACTTTCCTCATAGAGATTCATTGATTCAATTCATCTCTATGAGGAAATGCTGATTGGCCAGAGCTGTGTTTGAATTGTGCTGGCTCTGCCCCTGATCTGCTTCTTTCGGTCTCAGCCAACCTTATGGGGAAGCATTGTGATTGGATCAGGCTACCACTTCTGCTGATGTCAGGCAGTGGGCAGGTCAAAAGGAAACGGGACAAAACAGCTTCAGGCTTGAATACAAGTAAGATTTATTATATTTAGGGAGGCATGAGGAGACCAGGGGTGCTAGATTGTGGTTTTAACCCTATAGGGTCAAGAATACATATTTGTGTTCCTGGCCATATAGTGCTCCTTTAAGCTATAGTTATTCTGGAGATTATTGTGTCCATTTATGTAAAAAAATAAATAAAATAAAAAACATTCTAAGTGTGCACATGCATTTTAAAGTTTATTTTGCAAAAATTCTATATTCTGTTGATGCTGTATATTATTTAGAAAAAAAATATGCAACTACATGTATTTGTGTAGATGACGTCAAAACTAATGGCTGTATTTTGCCATGGTTAAAAAAATTAAAATTTAAATATATAAATAAAAATGAATTAGTTGGTGTATGTAGTAGAGATGTCTTGTGCTTAAGTATAATTTAATGAGTGGAATAGGGAGCAGTTATTCACTATGTGTAGGGACACACTTGATTTGAAGAATATTTCCATTGCAGCAATTTTTTCCCAAGTTTAATAGTTTCTCAGTTACTGAATAAACACCCGTGTCTGTGTTTTGTTCTTGCAGGCTGTCAGAGGGCCATTTGTACAGGTCCATTAACGGGCCACTAGTCCACAAAACCACTACAGCTAATAAATAGTCGTGTTTAGTCTGTATTTATGTACACAGAGCGAACAGTTCTGTGAACAATATAAAAACTTTACTTTATTCAACAGTTTGTGAATAGACCCCACTGTTTTCAATAGAGAGATCTCACAACATAAAGGGCCATTTTATGTTGCTGAGAGTAACAAATTTCCCTGCATAACCCTGTTTGGGTTATAAATGCAGAAAGCTGCAGTGATGCAGGAACAGTAAGTAAAATACCTTCTTTTTTTATTTTTTTGAACTCTATTCTGTGGAGGGGCCTGGGACCAAAATATGTAGTCCAACACTATAGTGTTAGGAATAAATGTTTCTATTTCTTAGTATGATATTGTTAATTTTAAAGGGGCACTATAGTCGCCAAAACATCTACAGCTTAATGTAGTTGTTCTGGTGTATATATTATTACCCTGCAGGCTTTTTTTAAAGGGACACTAGGAACCCAGACTACATCAGCTCATTGAAGTGGTCTGGGTGCAGTGTCCCAGGTCCCTTAACTCTGCAATTGTAATTATTGCAGTTATTGAAAAAAACGAAATAATAACCTGCTGGGTTACAGCCACTAGAGGGATTTCCGAGTGGTTAGGCTGCTTTTGGTCACCTAACAGACGCTGGATGTTCTCAGGCTATGTATGGGGACATCCAGCGTCCCTTGAAACTATATTGGAAAGCATTATACAGTGCTTTTCTATGGGGACAGTACTAATGCGATCGCCGCACTTGCGCATAAGGTCCCCACGCCGGCTGACGTCAGCAGAGGAGGAGCCTGAACCAGCGCTGAGGGAAATTGTTACAGAAGGGTTATTTAATTTTGTTTTCGTTTCTCTTTAATGTACTCTCTCTTTACTGCCTAGGGACACCTCCTGTGGCCATCACTCAGACGGCCACAGGAGGTGCTTCGTGGCTCACTGCTGCACAATGTGCAGCACTGACTTTCAGCATCTGCACACTCTGCATAGATGCGCTGAATGTTTTTGTCCCTCCTTGAGGCATAACCACCTAGCAAAGCTAGTGAGTATGTGCCAGCCTCCCAGAGAAATATTTTGCCACGCTAAAAACGCTCCTGCACAGAAACAGCGTTTCTAGCCAATCAGGTGATCCGAACAGCTTTGCAGCTCGCGGCAGACTGATCATCTCAGATTTTAAAATGGCAACATTGATGGAGGACTCCATTTCTGTGTCTGCCACAGATATGGTGGTTGTCTCTCCTAGAGACAGCCCCATCAACGTTAGAAAGCTCCATAAGAGAGCCTTCCTTGCCAGGGACCTATCCTCTTCATCTTCTAAGGAGGATATGGTCCCAGTCACCTGTAAAAAGAAAAAGGGCTGCCTTTCATCGTCAAATTTGGTGATCTCAGCCAAGAAGCTGGGCCAGCCGCAACAAGAACCACGTGGCTCTGGAAATAAGGTGAGTTTTATACCTTTTATGTGTGAGGGGGTTATCTGCATACTTAGAACTATAGTGTCAGTAATACATGTTTGTTTTCCTGACCGTATAATGTTCCTTCAAGCCAAAGTTGTTTTGGTGCCTATAGTATCCCTTTAATGTACAAATGTAAACCGCTTTTAAGCTTTGTCTTCGGTTATCTTTGTATGCAGCTCTTGTCTGGTAACTTTTTATTTATCTCTTGCATGTATATCAAGCTTTACGCCCCTAGTGAATTTTTCTATATTTCTTTGTGGGTGTCACTGCTGTGGTTAGCCTCATTTCCAACTTCCTCACTATTTCTGCCATATAAACCTACATACATAGTGAATTTTAGAGCAGTGTCTAAATTCCATGTTCTAGTTTTATCTGAACTGAAATAAATCAAATGCCATCAACATTCACCTCCATCAAATTATGTAATGCATTAATGTTAACTAGGTTTTTATCCACCAAAATAGCACAAATGGTTATAAAAAGGCAGAGTTTACATTGAAAGGCCTGCAGGGACACACTATAGACTCCAGAGCCACTATATTAAGCTGCATTAGTTCTGTTAACTATATTGTCCCTTTAAGAATTTTATTGTTGTCATTGAAAAAATACTGGCTCATAACTTTTTTTTTTTTTTATTTATTTTTTTTTAAGCTTGTTTCTCGATTTGAAATCAAATTTGTCAAGCCCTGTGCTATATGAATGCCAATTTCCACTTACTATGTTCTTGAATGTTTCCTGCCTATGACAGCAGTCCTCAACTTTCATTATTTTATGACTGTGTTAGTCAACATAAATGTATGCATAGATCGTTTAAAGGGACACTCTAAGCACCATAAGCCCTACAGCTAATTACAGTGGAAGCAGTCTTTAGGTGCACCCTTAGTGGTAACAGCCAAACTTTCTGGGGTGAATCGTGTTTAGTTTCCCTTTAAAACTAGTATTGTTCATTGTGACACAGTTGGTATGAAAAAGATTGCCTGGAGGAACAATCTTAATTGCATGTTTGTTGTCTGACAGTTATAACTTTCTTTTCTTTCTCTGCCCAAACCACAAAACGAAACACCCGTAGTACCTATTGCTCCGTACATGTTGATTAGCGTAAAGGTGTGTCCAGTGTGGGCAACCACTGAGTAGCTGCTGTTACCTGTTCTGACAGTAATGCAGTTTGCCTATGAGATATGTAAGATGTATTTTTCTCTTGTTTATTGATTTTGCTAGATATTCATATATATCAGCAATGTCCAGATTTAATGATTATTGTTAATTTAAATGGAGACTAAAGAAAATGCTACTTTCTCAGTAAGCTGACAGCAGCAATACCACAGCTGCTATCTCTAAGCTCCTTTAAAATCATTGCATCATCATGTGTAAAGTTATTCTTTAAAAGACCATCTTAACATCAGGAATACAATCCAACATACCCAATGTTTTAGCGTTCCTGTTTGTAGAAGGTGTGCCTCTTCCCCAGCACAGAGGAGGCATGACTATACTATATGATAATCCAGTCCAATATAACTTATAGATGAACATTGGGGACCTGATGTTCATCCAATCTTCTTCTCCATGGGAAAACTTAAAAAGGTGTCTTGTGGTAGCTTCTGCATAGTATGACCACATTTTATTGTTCGTACTGCGGTAGCACCTCTAGGAAGACTAGAAACAACCTTAAATATTTTATATTCCTGGCTTCATAGGACAGTGCCTACTGCATTAAAATCCTGTATATAAAGGCATGTTGTAGAGGGGCCGGAAGTGCTTCTTGCTCTGTAAATTAGAATAAAAATCTCCTTTTAACATTTTTGAAAGGCATTCATAAACTTGTTTCAACTTCAGACTTGTCATATTGTAACATGTTGATATAGTAGAAAATGTATTATATAGTACATTTATTTTTGCTTAATGTAGTTGTTCTAGTGAGTATAATCATTATATGCAGGCATTTTCATGCAAACACTGCCTTTTCAAAGAAAAGGCAGTGTTTACATTGCCCCTAGGGACACCTCCAAGTGGCCACTCCTCAGATGGCTACTGGAGGTGTTTCTTGGCTCAGGGCTGTACAGTATGCAGCTCTGCCGTTCAGCGTCCCCACGCTCTGCATTGGAACGCTCAATTTTCCTCATAGAGATGTATTGATTCAATGCATCTCTGAGGAGTTGCTGATTGGCCAAAACTGCATTTGGCCCTGCCCCCTGATGTCACCAAGGAGGCCGGGCCAGTTCTGGCGAACCCGCATAGTGCTGGAAATAAGGAGAGTTTTTCATGCTTTTAAGATGGGTATGGAGAGGGACAAGCCACCTAAATGGTCGGGGTTGCACTATAGGTTCAGGAATACACGTTTGTGTTCCTGACCCTATATTATTCCTTTAAGGAAATAGCACATCTAAAGGATTTATTAAAATCTGATGTTTACAGCACAAAATTTGAATATTCACGAATGCATAAAAATACAGAAATAGAAATTGCACCTCAGCATGACAAATAAAAGCTCACCTCCTCGTATGCATCATGGATTCTTATGATTAAGTATGGACATTCCACACGATATGTGTGAGATTTTGTTTGTCACGTTGAGGTGCAATGCCTGTAATTATTTTTGTATTTTTATGGATTCATAATAAAGCAAATTTCATATGGATTTGGACCATGCTATTTTATTAACTGTGCTGTAAACAGTCTTCTTTAAAGAAATTTTGTATTGTTACTGTTGACCACGGTTCCGGCTCCAAAATCAGCTGTCTTTTGAGCCTGCTGGAAGTACTAAACAGTGGATTGCTGCATTCGAATTGCCATATACAAGTGAGGGTCTGCTACGTTTATGTGTTGAAGACCAAAGTAGCTGAACTAAAGCAAAGCTGACTTGGAAAATGTTTACAGTTAAACTGATTTGGACTTTAATTTGAAATTTACTTTGAATTCATGATTTTCACTTTCATTTTCACTAGTAAATAACTCTGCTTGTGTTTTACATCCATTATTTTAATAATTATGTCCTACCCTATTACCGAATCCACTCTCCTCATATTAAGAGCATATCTCCCCTGCAAAGTGTTACAAGGTGGATGTTAATGTAAACTTGTTTTTCACTGCTTTATTTCTCCTGCAGACACAAATTGCTGATGTTGAGCCCCAGCCCCAGCCTTCCCCAGAACTAATGCTCCCTAATTCCCTGAAACCAGAAGAGGGGCTTGAAGTGTGGAAACACTGGGCACAAACAAAGAATGCGGAACTGGAAAAGGAGGCTCAAAACAGATTAGCACCCATAGGAAGTATGTTTGTTTTGTGGTTTTTCAATTGTAATTTTATTTATCAAGTTGTCTCAAACTGGTGGAATAATGGATGGAATGCATTTACACATGAGTTTTTTTTCTTTTCTTCTTATTTATCTATTTAGGTGCAAGCATACAAGCTTTACCAATATATGCATTCATAGCGCTTTTACAAAAGTATTTGAAAAAGTTTGCATATTAAATCTCATAATGAAAACACTTTATCAACAACAACCCATCTTTACTGATTGCATATCCTATGTGTTAAGACCTTGAATATTCACAATTGTAGAACCATAGTCTGTATTAAAAAAGTTAACTAATTCCCGATAATACCGAGGGTCAGTGGGTTAGATGTTCAGGTGTCCCGTTCTGTGCTGCTGTGTAAAGTGTTATACTTTTTCCATGGAGCCCAGACTTTATGAAATGTGGGTTAGGTTTTTCACCTGGCTAACTGTCTTGTTTAGCAAAATCTAGGTAGTAGTCTTCTGGATTAAGTTTGCTAATCATTGTAGCTCCAAGAAGGGTATGATCTCTTTATATATAATTAGAGGTATCTTTGTAGCTTCAGGTCTTCAGTCCCCCTAACATTCCAGCCCTCATAACAAGCAAAAAATGCTTGGTTGTGTAGTAGGAGTGTCATCAGAGAGGGACAGCAAGCATTTTATAGCTACTGGAGGGAATGACAGGACAAGTAGTCTGCAAAAGTGCCCTGGTGGACCAACATGTAGAATTGTGGTAAATCTACTTCCTTAAAAAGGGATTCGGTGTCCACCCAGGGTTATCGTTCTTGGGGTGAGTGCCAATGTATTATTTGTGCCAGTTGCACTGCTAGATAATTAAAGGAACACTATAGTCACCTAAATTACTTTAGCTAAATAAAGCAGTTTTAGTGTATAGATCATTCCCCTGCAATTTCACTGCTCAATTCACTGTCATTTAGGAGTTAAATCACTTTGTTTCTGTTTATGCAGCCCTAGCCACACCTCCCCTGGCTATGATTGACATGAGCCTGCATGAAAAAAAAAACTGGTTTCACTTTCAAACAGATGTAATTTACCTTAAATAATTGTATCTCAATCTCTAAATTGAACTTTAATCACATACAGGAGGCTCTTGCAGGGTTTAGCAAGCTATTAACATAGCAGGGGATAAGAAAATCTTAATTAAACAGAACTTGGAATAAAGAAAGCCTAAATAGGGCTCTCTTTACAGGAAGTGTTTATGGAAGGCAAGGGAGGTGTGACTAGGGTTCATAAACAAAGGGATTTAACTCCTTAATGGCAGAGGATTGAGCAGTGAGGCTGCAGGGGCATGTTCTATACACCAAAACTACTTCATTAAGCTAAAGTTGTTCAGGTGACTATAGTGTCCCTTTAAGTATACGTGTGGTAGACCAACAGCTCTTATTGATATTGGTCTATATTATAGGTTACATGCTACTCTGTGGCATTTGCGACGTCATATAAATTAATTCATTGCATTCTGCAGAACTACTAAATCTCGTCCGGTTACCTTAACGGGTAGTGATTGAAATAGAAATGAAACTTGGTAATATGCTACTTTTCACCAAATAAATATGCCCAATTGAAGAGAACAGTTGATCTATCCATTGGTCTATCTCTCTGGTCAGCTTGTGTAGTAAAACGTGTATAATGTTGAGTCTGGTCAGCCGATATCTTAACTCCCTAATAAGTTAAAGCTTCTCTTTCTATGTGTAGTTGATGGCTAACCTTGACACCATACATTGTTTCTGGACCACATTTCCCATGATGCTCAGCTAGCTTTTAGACTCTAAAAGCTAGCTGAGCATCGTGGGAAATGTATTCCAGAAACAATGTATGGTGTTAAGGTTAGCCATCACTGAGCTGATGTTTTGTGTGCACAAATGTCGTGTCCACAGTTGAGTTTGAGGCGTAGCCACCGATTTAGTTAGACTGAATTTATAGCCTCACAGTTCTCCAAATGTTTTAAGGAGCTTGCTTAGATGGTCTAGGTATGTGAGTTGATCAGCCATGGTGAGAAAGATGTCCTTGCATACGCAGACACTTTAAAGTGGTTCCCAGCTGTCTTTGCACATTTTGGTATTTAAATGTCGTATAATGTGCAATAAGGGTTCCAGGTATATAGCAAACAAGAAAGGGGACAGCATGCACTCCTTTCTTGTCCCATTACTTAATTTAAATGGTGTTTGGTGACCACCGGTTATGAGTCTTGGTGTGTAAAGTGTTTTAATGGCCGTAATGTAGTGTTTTGCAAAGCCCAATAATTGTAATAACCTGAAACGGTAGAGCCATTTCAGTCTATCCAAGGACAAGACCAGAGAAGGCGTGTGTGCATTATGACAAGTATTTTCATAAAGTTGCCTCCTGGCAATGAAGCCCATTTGGTCCAGGTATATTTAAGGAGCTAATGAGACACTTTCATAAGATCTTAGTGAAAATGTTTGAATGCAAAACTATATTAGCTAGGGCCATATCTTTATGTGGTATACCCCTTGCATGAAAAAGTTATAAAGGGTTTCTAAGTAAGGGATTGTCCCGGAAGACTTCAAAACTGTCTGTTGCTTTGTTTTCTTTCGGCGCTGATATGGCAGCACTGATTTCATCTTGTGTAATTGTTAAGTGTAGACTGTTAACAATACACACAGAAAACAAGTAAAAAGTAGGCGCTCGTAATAAAATCGTCTAGAATAAAACAGAACAACCTGTTAATATAAAAAAGAGCTGCACCAAAAACAAGTGTAAAACTCCTCCAAACACTTTAGTGAATATACTTAAAAATAGTAAGGTGCGCTGTGTCTTTAAGACCCAAAAATGTATAAAGTGCAACTAAGTGCAAACAAATTGATAAAGTGCAAAGTGATACAAAGTGCACTTAAAGTGTAAAATATCAATATAAAATATTATACATACATATGGCCTCTCGACTCCAAATATACATAAAAAGGAAAAGAGACATAAAAAAAAAACAATAGTGTGAAACCGTATTAAAATGGTAGTATGGATAATAAATGCCAAATATTGCACTCACAAAAGTAGAGCAGAATAAGCCTGCTCTAGCTTTAACAGCTTCTTCAAATGTAGGACTGCATAGACGAAAAAATATTCCAAAATCTTTATTGCCCAGCACAGCACCAATATATCACCTTCCTCCACACTTAGTATTCAGTTACAGAGCCTTCGGTAGCATACAGCATAAGGGTGTCGACCTGTCCCTCTGCGGTTTCGCCGCCGTAATTGCCGTCTGTTGGCCGTCTGTTTCCGGAAACAGACGGCCAGCAACATTTTATCAGCGCCGCTGCAAAACTACGGCTTCTGGAAAGATGTGGAAGAAAACCGATATTAGATACAATCTGAAACACGTCTTAAAAGCTATACTTCACTAACTGTCTACATGTTGTTTAATATATGCGATTTGTCCTTTATTGTATTGTCGAAAACTTTTATATGTATAATATCTGATATTTTACTTTATGCACTTTGCACTTATGGCTTGTTTGCACTTAGTTGCACTTTATACATTTTTGGGTCTTAAAGACACAGCGCACCTTACTATTTTTAAGTGTAGACTGTTAACAGTCTATAGCAGTGATGGCAAACCTTTTTGAGCCAGAGTGCCCAAACCGCAATACATGCCAACTTTTTTTCCCTCAAAGTGCCAACACGGCAATTAAACCTGAATACTGAGGTTTAAGTTTAGAAAAAAACTACTTGTACAGGTGTCCGAACTAATTAACATCTTTTGTTTTAAAAGAACACAAAAGAGTTCAATGATACAAATTTTAAATAATAGATCAAATTAAGCTTATATTTATTAGTATCTCCAACAAATGCAATACATACAGCCTGCTGACTACATTCGCACACAGCCTGCTGACTACATTCGCACACAGCCTGCTGACTACATTCGCACACAGCCTGCTGACTACATTCGCACACAGCCTGCTGACTACATTCGCACACAGCCTGCTGACTACATTCGCACACAGGCAGACTGAGGGGTGTGGAGTGCTGTGTGTGTGTGTGGGCGGGGTAAGGGAGCTGTGTTTTGGTGGGGGGTATACTGTTTAGGGGAAGGGGGAGGTGGTGAAGATACGTAAAAAAATAAATAAAAATAAAATATATATGGACTATGTAGCCATCAGGTTCACAGTCAGACCACACTGTCATGACTGATCCAGTTTAACATAAACTCACACACACACTTACATTAAATTGTATATCACAGATATACATAACATATTCAATGTAAAATTTTAATACGTAATCTCATCTCACCTCTGATTCAGTGCTGTGATGTATTCACCTTTGTGGGTGTTAATTCTTTTGTAACACCCTGTATCAGTCCACCCACACACTGCCCTTTTTCCTTTCTTTTCCTGTTTGAAGATGCTTCCTCAGGCTGGGAAAACCTCCATGACACCAACAAACTGGCTTTATTGCCAGGATACTAGTGATATAATTCTTAGTCCGCACTAACGGTGTTGGCTGGGGTGTTAGCATAGTAACTGTGGTTGCTATGCTTGATAGGGCAGAAGGACTTCACATAGCAAGTCTTTTTTTGCTCTCACTATTCCTTAATTCTTTGGCACAACGTTTATGCCAAGCATCTATACCTATTTCTAAATCTTTTTTTTTTTTTTTTTTTAAACCTTCTAGCACAACATATAGATAAAAAAAATTTGTGTGTGTGCATAAAGCTATAGAGGGTATCAGATAGGCGGCACCAGTAATAAAGTGCAAAGTAGATAAAAATAATAATAATATATTCTAAGTGATTAAAAGTCCAGTAGTAGAGTTAAAGAATGTCTGGGGGACTATATGTAGAACCCATATATCAGAATATATTGATATTTTACTACAACCATCCGTAAAACTCATGAGATCTTATATAAAAGACTCCATGACCCTTTTAAATTTTTTAGATAATTTTAATTGGCATCCTAATTACTTACTAGTCACCTGTGATGTACAATCCTTATATACCATCATTCCCCATGACAAAGAATGCACAGCGGTGTACAACAGACTAAAAAAAGACGACAATATCCCAAATGAACAAATTAATTTTATTATAGAAGGTATAAATATTGTTTTAACCAACAACTATTTTGGGGTTTCAGACTCCTTTTAAATACAGAAACTAGGCACAGCCATGGGAGCTTGGTTTGCCCCCAGTTATGCTAATCTTTTTATGGATGACTGGGAGTCCTTGGCTATCTGGTGTGACCACCCCTGGAAGGCAAACATAGTTACCTATTTTAGATATATAGATGACCTGTTTTTTTGTTTTTGTTTTTAATTCTTTATTTTTTCTGTGCACAAGATAATACGGAGGTTCACAAAGCCACGACAACATAGGCAAACAGTAATATCAATGTAGAGCATATACATGGCATTACAAAGTGGCACAGTTTTTAAGTATATTAATACACAGGCTAGTCACGTTTGTCTATATAGGAGTTACATGAGTAAAAATAGATGCAGGCATAAGACAAGTAACGATAAAGACCTCGCTTGGTATGTGTTGGCACGGAAACAAGATTACATATATACATAGCATGTTCATTTTGTTTAGTTATACTAGCTGAGCCATTGAGCTCAATATAAACAGGGAATAACATACAGGCTTTTGCGGGCTAGTCTCGCTTATCTGTCAGGGTGCTTATACTGAATCTGATGCTCTGTAATCTACAGTATACGACAGTGACAGGTTATGATAATTCCTGCTCTAGTCTTCGTAGTTAAATGACAGACAGTAGGACATGCATGTAGGTGGCTGTACAGACTTATGGTAGCCTACGACAAGACATAATATCTGCCTATAGGGAATCAACTGAGAGACAATATGCAGTGCACGTTTTTATATTGTTAAAGAGAGCAAGATATAACAGATTGTGAAACCACTGGCAATGATTATTAACAAAAAGAAAATATATTCAATGGAAAGGAACTGCTGTGATACTGTAAGCTAAATGCTTAGGTAAGCTTAGTGTCTGCCTTTATGTCTAAATCTTGCGTTAGCGTGTGAGAAGTATTTAAAGTTAACTGCATAGTATCCCATAACATTGGCAAAAAGTTGCCCCAAGTCATAGATAGAGTTCAGTGATACTTGGGCTTCAAACCCGACAAGATATCAGGGTGTTCTGGCGTTATCTGGTATCACCTGGGGAATGCGCCCACATGGGTCTGTGAGCTGTGGGGCAGGGTGAAATGCACTTCAGCCTATGCCCAGTGTGGGAATGTCTCGATTGCTGGCACAGCTGGCCCCGGCAATGGAGTCCCTGGGCTTGATTCCGGCTCTAGCAGTAGTCAGCTAGGCTTTCTCCTGTGCGGCCTCTTGTAGTGCAGTGTGATCCTTGAGAGGTTGCTTTGTGCAACTCTGGTCAGAGGTTCTTGGGTCTGATGTGTTGCTAGCAGGTAGGCTTCGCTTGGTGCACATGCTTCTTTGTAGGTGGGAGCGAGTGCATGCGTTCAACTGGCATGGCGCCGTTTCCCGCCTTGTCGATCTTTGGTGTCTGCATCGCCGGACGGCCGCTCTGGATGCCCGAGGTTGGTGCCCATAATGGCGTCGTCGGGTAACGGGTCTCATCCAGGAGGCTACCGCTTTCACCGCCTGGTGGTGGGCCATTCCTCGCTCACAGAGCATCGCCCAGAAGCTCTTACAAAGCCGGTTCAGAGCCATCAGGGGATGTGTTGGTGACTGGGTGCTCGTGTTTTTCATTTTTGGCCCTTGCTTGGAGGCCATTTTGGTTATGCCTTGGCGGTCTTGTGCTCCCGCGGGCTGTGTAATTGTGAGGCCCACCAGCAGTCCTGGTCCGTCTAGCCGGTGGGGACCGGGATTACCCCGCCGGTCTAAAGGGGGGGGGGTGTAAGATCAATGAGGTCACTTGATGGGTCTCAGTGTTGGGGAGAGTGGCCGCCTCTCCCCGTCTCCATCCCCAGTAGGCCGCACTTGGCGTTTCGCGCCACCGGCCCCGACGGGCTCCAGAAAGGTGTCCCTCAAATCAACCGGGCACCCCCGGCATGGGTGGTGTATCCCGGTGTGTTTTTGGGCTATTTATCTGCCAATTTCACTGTGTTTTCTGCCCGTCGGACCGGAGCTCGCCTCACCCACGTCCGTACAGCTAGGTGGTCAGGCTCCGCCCCAGATGGCCTGTTTTTTATCTGGAATGGTTCTGAAGATACAGTAAGGAAAATTTATACAGTATTTTTCGCTCCATAAGACGCATCTCACCATAAAACGCACCTAGTTTTTAGAGGAGGAAACCCAGAAAAAAAAAATATTCTGAACAAACTGTTCCATAGTGTTTCTTACTATGGGACAGTTTGTTCAGAATTTTTTTTTTCTCCCCTGGCCCATAATGATCTTTAACCCCCCTTTCCTCTGTCCCATAGTGATTAACCCCTTCTACCCTGTCCCATAGTGTTCTTTAACCCCTCCTCCCCTTGTCCATTAGTGTTCTGATCCCATAGTGTCCCCCCCTCCCATTGTTCCATAGTACACTTTTCCTCCCATAGTGTCCCCCCCTCCCCTTGTCCCATAGTGTCCCACCCTCCCCTTGTCCCATAGTGTCCCACCCTCCCCTTGTCCCATAGTGTCCCACCCTCCCCTTGTCCCATAGTGTCTCCCCTCCCCTTGTCCCATAGTGTCTCCCCTCCCCTTGTTCCATTATTACTTACCTGTCTTGGAGCGTGGGCTGGCTTCACAGCGCGCTCCGCGGTCCAGGAACTTCTATTTCAGGTTCCGGTTTCCGGCGGGACTGAAAGGAAGTGAAATTGAAGTTCCTGGACCGCAGAGCGCGTTGTGAAGCCGGCCCACGCTCCAAGACAGGTAAGTCAGGCTTCACATTCGCTCCATAAGTGTCAGGATCGTGACAGGGATCCAATACGCAGAGTGCGGACAGGAGGAGGTACGTATACCAGACCTTAGAATGGCCGGACTAACGTATAGACAAGACAAGAATGGTCAAAAGGTAAGCCGAGGTCGAGGGAGCCGGAGGACAGGTAAGCGAGGAACAAGCCGGGTCTAAGGAGAGGAGAGAGAAGCAGAACAAAAGTACAAGCCAGGTCAAAACCGAAAAACACAGAGAGAAACGCGCTGAGTGACTAGCAAGCTAGAACCACAACAGGGCAATGAGCAGTAGTATAAGCTTCCCTAAAATACCCTGTCACCTAATTATGACCACGCCCCCAAAAGGTCCGGAATTGCGGTTCACGTTGATGATGACGTCGACGATTGGTCATCGCGTCATAAAAGGGGGAGGAGCTAGTGCGGCCGGCGCGAAAACGGCCGAAAATGCCGAAATGCTTGGGCATAGGAGCCCCTTTGGAAGAGAGACTGACCTCCTCAGAGGTTGAAATTACAGGTAACATGACAATAAGACGCACAGACATTTCCCCTCATTTTTGAGGGGGAAAAAAGTGCGTCTTATGGAGCGAAAAATACGGTACTTTTTAGACATCCAAATTTTTATACAAAATGGAACTGCAAATACTAAAACATTTTTTTTTTTAAAGTATGTACCAATACAGTTGTTGACAAATCTAGCTGCCACCATCAGCCAAGGCATGATGGAATCCCCAAAAGTCAATTTTTACGTCTCCCCAGAAACTGCTCCCTTATGACAGGCTTTGAAGATCAATCCAATACCCTTAAAGACAAATTTATCCTCAAGAAATACCCTTTAGAAAACCTAAACAAAACCTTAGAAAAAAACTAAAAACCGAAAAGATCTCTTAATTTACAAAGTCCCCCCCATCTATGCCAGTCATTTTTAACTTCAACAAAGAACGCAAAACTATAAGAAAAATAATCACAAAACACAGGCACATTTTAAACAAACTACTCCCCGACAAACCCAGTGTAATTTTTAGAGGAGCCCCCAATATAAGAGCCATCCTCACAAAAAAACTACACTAAAGATCCTGTTATTAACACCTCATAATTTATCTCGCAAGTTAAAGGTTTTTATAGATGCAACAAATGTATAGTATGTAGAACAACAGATCCAAAACCACACACTTCACTTCTAACAATACTAATACCACTTATCCTATTAAAGATTTCATAAATTGCAATACAAAAAACATACCTTCTAAAGTGCCCACGTAGTCTCCAAAACGTGGGTATTACATCCAAATGCCTAAAAATAAGACTAGCAGAACATTGCCGCAACATCAGCAAATGATTTCTCAACCATTCTGTATCAAAACATTTTATTACACACAACAAAAATCCAAAATACTTCAAATGCGTTGGTATTTAAAAACTCATGGAGAGGTGGTGATTTGAAAAAACTTTTAGGCAAAATTTAAATGAACTGGGTATTTCTTTTAAAAACTCTAGAATCAGATGGTCTTAATGTCGATTTTGATCTTTTTAATTTTCTTTAATAATCTTAATCTTTTTTCATAATAATTGGACCATATGTATGTCATTTTATTTTATTTTACTGTTTTCTTGTTTTATTTGAATATAGGGTGCAAAAAAACTCATTCTATAAATGTGCTTTCTTTTTTAATATACACTGCTCAAAAAAATAAAGGGAACACTTAACACAATTGATCTTTTGGATCAACAGCAAGAAACAAATGTGAGGAAGGCTGAACTTGATGGACGCAAGTCTCTTTTCAGCTATGTAACAATGTGACTCCTAGTCAATCACACTTCTGTGAAATCAAACTGTCCACTTAGGAAGCAACACTGAGTGACAATCAATTTCATATGCTGTTGTGCAAATGGGACAGACAACAGGTGGAAATTATAGGCAATTAGCAAGACACCCCCAATAAAGGAGTGGTTCTGCAGGTGGTGACCACAGACCACTTCTCAGTTCCTATGCTTCCTGGCTGATGTTTTGGTCACTTTTGAATGCTGGCGGTGCTTTCACTCTAGTGGTAGCATGAGACGGAGTCTACAACCCACACAAGTGACTCAGGTAGTGCAGCTCATCCAGGATGGCACATCAATGCGAGCTGTGGCAAGAAGGTTTGCTGTGTCTGTCAGTGTAGTGTCCAGAGCATGGAGGCGCTACCAGGAGACAGGCCAGTACATCAGGAGACGTGGAGGAGGTCGTAGGAGGGCAACAACCCAGCAGCAGGACCGCTATCTCCGCCTTTGTGCAAGGAGGAGCACTGCCAGAGCCCTGCAAAATGACCTCCAGCAGGCATGTGTCTGCTCAAACGGTCAGAAACAGACTCCATGAGGGCCCGACGTCCACAGGTGGGGGTTGTGCTTACAGCCCAACACCGTGCAGTACGTTTGGCATTTGCCAGAGAATACCAAGATTGTCAAATTCGCCACTGGCGCCCTGTGCTCTTCACAGATGAAAGCAGGTTCACACTGAGCACATGTGACACACACTACTGAGCCTCATTTGGACTAGTTTTAAGGACATTACATCAAAGTTGGATCAGCCTGTAGTGTGTTTTTCCAGTTTAATTTTGTGTGACTCCAAATCCAGACCTCCAATATGAGTTTTTAAAACAGTAAAACTTATCACGACGATGAAATCACAAGTAAAAGTGCAGTTTTTGTGTAACAAAATGCAAAAAGAAAATTCGGTCTAATCTTACTTCCTTTGTCACCCTTGTTATTCTCTACCACATATTTATCTGTTCTGTCTTACGGTTTCTTGCTATACAGGTATATATGAATTTTTCACTTTATTTTCCATCATCAATTAAGCAATTATAATGTCATTTTGGCCCCATTTTAAAAACACACCAGCTGTTTCACTCCCTTTTTAAACCCAGACTTGCCGGGTTATGTTCTCTGCATTTCCACCTGAAAAGGCCTGCTGGCAAAATGCGTTGTGGACATTTTAAACTGTATTTTAATCATTTTGGTCACTTCCTCACTGAGAGCTGACATTTAACTTTAAAAAAAATATTATATCATTTTTAATTTCACTTTATTTTACCTGGCTTCTGAGTTTTATCCTGTTCCAGTGAGACATTACCTCAAAGAATCCTAGGTGGGGATTATACCACTCAAGCCCCATACACTGAGCAGTCCGCCTGCTCGTGTAAATGTGAGTAAGCACTTTATATTTTATTTTCTGCTTTCTTGATTTTAAATAGAGAACACTGTTGCTGTTCCTTTTTATTTCATATGACCTTCCCTCAGAGAAGACATCACATCAAATTACGGAGCTGTTATCCCATATTCTACATTTTCGTTGGCTGGTGCGCTGCCCAATAATCCATTGTTTTATCTGTACCAATACATTGAGCGCTGACCCATCTCTACCCGTTTTTTCCTTTGATAAATCTATAAATAGCATGACTGGTAACTGAAGATCACTTTCTCCTTCCAATGTGGTGTCCTCATCTGGCAAACTGAATTGGGCAAGCCCTATATTGACCCTTAACTTTCCAAAACCCCATAAAACCTGTACATGGGGGTATTGTTATACTCTGGAGACTTTGCTCAACACAAATGTGAGTTTTTAAAACAGTAAAACTTATCACGACGATGAAATCACAAGTAAAAGTGCCGTTTTTGTGTAACAAAATGCAAATATGAACTTTAGCTTTGGCAAGTGTTGGCTACTACAAAAGACTGGACATACCCCATTTTCAATACAATGGGCTGTCTACTTTTTCAAATGATATGTCATGGTGGGGTTAATTTTCATTTCTGGGATGCCATACCGTCTCAATTGCAACATAGCCAATCTGGCAAATCGCAATTTACAAAAACAGAAATTGGCAAATCTTATGTTTGAGCCTGTAACCTTTCAAATCTCCATAAAACCTGTGCTTGAGGGGTACTGTTGCACTTGTGAAACACAAATATGAGTATTTTAGAGCAGTAAAATGTATTTCAGACATTCTTTACTTACCGACCGGGTTCCGTTCCTACGACCCAGTCGTAGAACGAATTGGTTGGTGAGAAGTTAAGGGATTCCCCGCGCTTTTCTATGTTCGGGGTAAACTTCCTCGAGCATAGACATGCGCACCAGAGCAGGGAATCCCCACGACGGCTCGCGCTTACACCTGGTCACTAAATGAGGACCACCTGAATACTGATATCTGTGAAATGGCGGTTTGTGTGAAAAATGCAAAAAAAAAAATGCTAATTTTGGTCAGGGTTTGTGACAAAGTGGCTACTAAAAAAAGACTGGACATACCCCATTTTGAATATTGTGGGTTGTCTACTTTAACAAATGGTAAGCAATGATGGGGTTCATTTTCTTTCCTGGACTGCTATACGGTCTCAAAGGCAACATTGGCCCAGCAAACCAATCTAGCAAATTTCAATGTGCAAAAACCTATAAAACCTGTACCTTGGGGGCATTGTTGTAATCAGAAGATGTTGCTGAACACATATTTGGGTGTTCTTTGTCAGTAACACATAACAGGAACTGGGAATCCATGCTTAAAGTACATTGTGAGAGAAAAATAACACACAAAAATGACAACCCAAAAGGTTGACAAAGACTGGTGGTAGAATTGATGGGATAGTCCCACTTGAGCATAGTGTGGCACCGCGTTGGTCTGGGCCTGTGGCGTAGAGGCTTTTGCTGGGTTATTCGCCGTCCAAGCCACGCCATTGACTTGTTCAGGAGCTGCGGGCTGCTGTATTGTTGCACGTACGGTTATAGTCGGTGGAGCCTCTTCATCCGTGCCCCCATGAGGATTAAGTTTAGGATGGCGTCCGCCATGATATTCCTTTCTGGTCCGGCAGTGCAAGTATGTCACTGTTGGAGTTATTGCTGGGTCACTGGCTTTAGTTGCCGGGATATCCCTCACGGGGGTGGGGGGATCTACCAGTTTTGGTCGAGGGACCTGTTGCTTGTTTCCGCAGTTGTAGACATCTGGGTCTTGTGAACCGGTAAGATTTGAGGCTTTTGCTGTAGTTGTGGCGGAATATGAGTATTTTAGCATGAAGCTCACACGAAGTGCGACCGCTCGGCATAGCAGCCCGTTCTCCACGGCGTCTCCAGACTCTCCCGTCCTATTTTGTTTTTAAATTTTGCGTAGATTGGTGGTAAAATGGTTGCATGAAAAGAGTCAAAATACCCCAAGTTTAATACCTTGGGTTGTCTTCTTTTAAAAGAAATATATACATGTAAAGGGTTATTCAGGGATTCCTGACAGATATCAGTGTTACAATGTAACTTCTTTTAATTTTTAAAGAAAAATGGTTTGGAAATGTCAAAGTGCTACTTGTACTTTATTGCCCTATAACTTGCACACAAAAAAAGCTAAGAACATGTTAACATTGGGTACTTCTAAACTCAGGACAAAGGCATGGATGTGTTTTGGCAGTTGTAGATGCATGACAGATTTTGGGGGTCAAAGTTAGAAGTGTTTTTTTAAATGTTTTCATCATATTTTATTTATTTTTTTTATAGTAAATTATATGATATGATGAAAATAATGGTATCTTTATAAAGACCATTTAATGGCGAGAAAAACTGTATATAATATGTGTGGGTACAGCAAATGAGTAAGAGGAAAATTACAGCTGAACACAAACATCGCAGAAATTTAAATAAAAAAGCGATCTGGTCACTGAGGGGTTAAATGACCTGCAGCAGTGCAGTTACCACCTTCGAGCATTGGTTGGGCTACGCTTTGTGGATAAAAATTTTTAGAAAGTAAACTCTGCAGCGGATGATGAATTTTGTAAAGTTCTGTATTATCTAGCCTCACCTTGGCCAGGTAATCACAACAAGTATGATTTAACACTAGGTTTCCATTCCTTTAAACAAGATTTTTATTTTTCCCCACAGGGCGTCAGTTGTTGAGGTTCCAGGAGGATCTCATATCCTCCGCAGTTGCTGAATTGAATTATGGTCTGTGTCTCATGACAAAAGAGTCTCGAAATTCAGAAGGGGAGCCATATGATGCAGACATTCTATATTATGTATTCCTTTGTATTCAAAAGGTGAGTAGTAACTGTAACATTCTGTCTTGTGGCCAAAGTTGTTAGTGTCATATTTTTTTCCAAGATTGTTTTTCAACAATTCTTGAATATCCAAATAATATCTAGTTACCAACTGTTACCATGCCAGTTTGTAGGGTAAGAAGTGGGAGTTGTTGGCTTAGTAGCATGAAAATTATCTGAAAGAGATTAGTAATAGTGAAAACCTAATCATGAGAAAATTGTCTCAAAGGGACACTATAAAACAAAACCGCTTTAGCGTAAGGAACCAGTCTCACTGCTCAATTCTATATTTAGGAGTTCAATCACTTTGTTTATGCAGCCCTAATCACACCTTTCGGCATACAACTTACACAGCCTTCCTGTAAAGAGTCATCTAATGTTTACACTTCCTTTAATGTACAATGTGTTTAATTTAGAATGTATTATCTCCTGCTCTGTTAATAGCTTGCTAGACCCTGCAGGAGCCTTCTGTATGTAATTAAAGTTCAATTTACAAAGCAGGAGATACAATCTTTTAAAGCAAGTTACATCTGATTGAAAATCACCTTTATTTCATGCAGGCTGTGTCAGTCAAAGCCAGGGGAGATCTGGCTAGGGCTGCATGGACAGAAACAAGTGATTTAACCTAAATGGTAGTGAATTGCGCAGTGAGACTTCATAGATCATGCCTCTGAACAAAAACTGCTTCATTAAGCTGAAGTTGTTTTTGTAACTATAGTATCCCTTTTTTTTGTGCTTCAAAGGAACGAACAGTCTTACACTGCCCCAACAGCAGTAGCCAGAGAATTATTATACACAGTTAAACAGTAAAGGGCATTCGATAATACAGCACATTTTTTTTTAGACGTAATAATTTTTGTGTGCATAGTAGTACATATAGGCTGACACACATTTTGTCAGATGATTACAAGAGTGAACGTGAGCGTTGTAGCTAAAAGTGTCATAAGAGAAACACTGCACTTTTTATGATATAACTTAACAGAAGGCTAGACTAAATGATTGCGTCTAGACTTTGGTTACTTGCTATTGCTCATAATCGATAAACACAATCTGAGTATGAATCTACATGCAAATTATGAACCTGCTTAAACCACTAGAACTCTGCTTAGTATCTATTTGGCTTTAGCGTTGGCTATGAGTTACTTAAATAGAAGGAAAAAAAACAGGTCATCATAAACAGAGAGGTGTGACAGCTACAAAGAGATAAGGCCTCAACTAGTCGCCTGGTAGGTTACATGAAGTGCCATTAGGTCTTGGGCAGCTTCTCTGGTGCCAGAATCAACCTATCCCTGCAAGTGGCATAGTGGGCAGGAATGTCCAGGTGAGTAGCTGTGAGCCGCGCCAGGTCTGGGGTGCCCGCTTGCTCCGGCAGTGGCAGCAACAGGGAGGCTGGCTGCCTCTCTTCGTCCGCTTTTGCGGGTAGGCCGCAGTCGTTGCGATGGGTTTAGAACGCCCGTACCACGACGGGGAGCTGTAGCTGGTTGTCTCCATTATGATAAGTGCTGGTTTCCTCTTGAAAACAGTCGGTATATATAGCGTTTAGGTGCAGAACTGGAGACTGCCTTAATCGTTAATAGTAGTATCTCCTATAGAATCAACCAAGAGACGTAACTGGGAATTTATGTTGAAACCTTTCTAAAGTCTCCTTGGCTAAAAATGACAACTCCCCTTCCTTTCCAGTGCTTAGGCAAAGTTCTTCCTCAGTCTAATCCTCCTCTGTGGACATCCTTCCACTTTGCTGAAGGGGGAGTGATGTCGGGAAGCACGGGAGGGGGGTTGTCCTTTGGATGTATTTTTGCCAGCATGTCCTTTGGCTGTATTTTGCCAGCATACTGTTTGTGCGCTGTCGACAGATGCCGAGTATTCACAGACGCCCAGTGATGCTTCCGGAGGTGAAGTTACACTTCAGGCAGCAGTATGTCCAGTGTTTCATAGTGAATCAGGGCACATGTAGACTCCAGGCACTTAAAATCAGTGAACCTATAGTCAATTTAAAAAAATGGCTAAATAAAATAAATTCCATGAATACTTGAGCATGAACACGAGGATCGTCACATGATATTTGGCACTCAAATTTTGAACACACAGACAATCCTCCCATTTGTGCCTTCTCTGTTTAATTTAGTGTCTCTCGTCTCCTTTCTTCCTTATGACTTTGTGGTGTTTATAGTTGGGTTAGGAGTTGTCTCATTAATCCTCCTATCTGTTTTAGTACCTTTTTGAAAATGGACGAGTGGATGACATATTTTCAGATACTTATTACAGCAAGTTTGCAGAGTACCTTCATGATGTTCTCAAGAGCTTTCAACCACGTGTCACAACTCTTGGTAAGCATACAAAGGAGAAAATCACTCTCTATAAACCTCAGAACATTTTTTTAAAACTGGGAACACAAAGGAAATACAGATTGAAATAACCAGAGAAAAGTGTAACATGAATGCTTGTTTAACCATGCATGTAGTGCGCCAGGCAAGAATTCCATGCCATTTCAGCCCAAATTAGAGCTCTTCAGTAAGTATGGACAGACCTGCTTAACTGCCTTGTCATGTATGTACAGTAAGATGCCATGTTCCCCCTTTCTGTTTTTGGCATATGAGCAGTGACACTTTAGTCCCCTCCCAGTCTCAATGATTACTGTCCCGTATACATACATGTAGTATGAAGGTTATGTCGCAGGTGACAGGAAAGCAGCAACTGCCGCTAGGTTGATGGGCGAGAACAGCCCGATGCCTTTAAGTAGGAGAGAAAGTTTGGGAGATCTTCTGCCTCCTCTTTATGTGCCACTCTAGGCTTCGGACTAGTGAACCTATCTGTAAATATGCCTTTGGTCACTGGCATAACTCCTGTTTTGTAATCATGCATGAAAAGGAACAGTCGTTAAAATTATCTGTTCAAATCTCTTGTCCTATTTGGTGCAGATCTGATTTTAAAGCTTACAAGCCGCTCTTAAAGAGCAAATGATTTTGAGGCATAGATCCTGCCACACTGAGAATCAGCACTATTTATTTACATTTTGACAATTTTCATGCCTGTAGTGGCTGTCACACAGAAATGGATTCAGCCACTGAGTCATTCAGGCATATGTCTTTTGTTGCTAACTATTCTTCAACAAGAAGTGCAGATCACCCTGTTCTTTGTTCCACTGTTCACCTAATTAGCTTTGTAACTTTTCGTTTAAGGTTATGTCATGCCAAGCCATGTGACAGAAGAGATGCTCTGGGAATGCAAGCAGCTGGGAGCACACTCCCCAGCAACACTACTCACTACTCTTATGTTTTTTAATACAAAGTAAGTTTTGCAAAAATAGACAATAAATGGCTATGGTTATAGTTAAGATTCGCTACCCTTTCCTGCTTTATTAAAATATCCTGATTTTTAAATGGGTAACTAGCTGTCTTTCTTGAAGACTGAATGCTTTCTTTCCAACAGGTATTTTTTGTTAAAAACTGTTGACCAGCATATGAAACTAGCATTCTCAAAGGTACTAAGGCAAACTAAGAAAAACCCTTCTAATCCAAAGGATAAGAGCACGAGTATTCGATATCTTAAAGCACTTGGCATTCATCAAGCTGGACAGCAGAAAGGTAATGCCCTGTTATAATTTGCACAGATCGTACATACTTTAAAAGCTAACCCAGTCACTTAATTGTTATAAACATTTCTTTAAAAAAATAAAAAAAATAAAATTTTAAATTACAACAATAAAGATTTTTATCTAATCAAGCCATAAATTATATACATTTTTTTTTTCTCTGCATTTCTGTAAACTAACAGCTCCTCAGCTGCCAGTCTTTTCACTTACTCTTCACCAGTGGCGGCTCTAGACTTTGTGAGGCCTTAGGCCAGGGGTTCTCAACCCAGTCATCAGGACCCCCTACCAGTCTAGGATTTAGGGATTACCTGGGTGTGTCTAAGGTGTTTAGAAAAAGAATTAAACCTTAGAGTCTAAGGTGTGTTTTTTTTTTTCTTTTTCTAAACACTTTAGACACACCCAGGTAATCCCTAAATCCTGGACTGGTAGGGGGTCCTTGAGGACTAGGTTGAGAACCTCTGCCTTAGGCAAAACTCAAGCAGGACCCCCCCTACTAACAACCAAAGTGGGGGAGGGGGTTCGGGG